AGAGACAACTTTGGGAGAGTACAGAATAGTGAACGTTTGGCGGGCCCGGGCTGGATTTGAACCCGCCAGCTCAGGTCTATGTGGCTGGTGCCTTAGCCGCTTGAGCCACAGGCACCGAGCCAAGCTGTATATTTCTTTTGGGTCCCTTGCCATTCACTATCAGGACACTAGTGACAAGTCTCCATGGGGAAAGCAGAGACAGAAGGCAGGAAGGGTCTTTGCCTTGCCCCTCTGAGTGGAGCTGAGGCCTGGCATCACATTAGAGTGTGGAGGCTTTTTTCAAATACATCTCTCCTGTCGCCTTCCCATTCACACTGTCAGAAGGGTACCCACCTTTAGTAATAATACCAGTGACCAAGTGTGTCCAGCATTGAGCACTAAGGCTCTCTGTACTCCATTGCTGAGCTGTGAGGCCAGTCTGTGATCACAAAGAGGTGAGGGGCTGTGCTCTGCCTCAGGTTTGTGGTTGTGTCCTAGAGGGAAGCTCAGTGCAGCCCAGCTGTCCTCTGCTGCCTGTGTGTGGAACATCACTAGGAGGGAGGCGGCTCTGGTGAGGGGATCAGAGAATCACCAGTTTTGTCTTTCTGTAGGAGCGTATTGTCCCTGCATCCCTCCCAGTGCAGTAAGCAGCAGAGGACCTGCCTTTCTGCAGGGCGAGGTCATCCCTTTGTGAGTGGTTGTGTCAAAGGAAGGGAGTGTGTTGATTCTAAACAATAAGCAGAGTATTTTTCATATTCAGAATTGACTTCTAAAGAATCCAGTTACAAGAAGAAGAAGCCCAGAAGAGGAAAGAAAAGGATTCAGAAATGGCTGTGCCTCAGGTACAGTGATGTTCTCGGTGGGTTATCTGAGTCCCCCTCCTTTCTGAAAGGCACTGGACTTGCTAATCTCTGACTCTGCAGCATCCGACCTGACGTATTTGCTGCCATTCAACCCTGCCTTCCCTCAGTCCCTCTCTCTATGACCCAGTGACTTGAGCTTATGCAGAGGCTCCATTGAGCAGGGCCCTGGGAAGGACATCAGTTAGAGAGGG